AAAAAACAGGAAATTTCGTTTCGATTTTGACATCCAAAGCCTAGTATTAGGATTATTCATAAATGCAGGTTCCAGAACATATTTTTAGATGTCGGGTGTATAAATCGGAGTCGTCCATTCAAAGGTACTCGCTGACATGTTTCAAAACGAATTCTGGAACAACTAAAAACATTATAAAGCGACATCGCTGCGCTCAAACCCATATTTTTCAAGCAAAAACCGATGCTGCTGCCATCAATGTTTCCTTATATTTAGCAAATCAGATTAGAGTTAGGCATTCACTGGAGGCGGATATGCCGTATATGGCAGGGGAAGTTCAAGAATAAAGCTGAATAAAGAAAGGAAATTTGTCGATACAACATACCTCGTTAATTTCCACTTGTTCTTCATAAAATTAAGGTATTCTTGCGGATGTAATCTTTTGAAATCAGGTGGCAACCGAATAGCCATTAGGGGCATGCGCTCCTCAATTCTACCAGTGTACGACCGCATCTGCGCTCCAATCCGATTACCATGATCGCCCATGATGATACTGACTCCGTTATCTAGCGCTCCTACAATTATATGATCAAACTACCTGGTTTATCCGACTGTCGACACGCTTTAACAGCAACCACCATGCCCTCATCGTACAAGATTTCGCTGTCCCAGTCTCGTCACTGTATGCCAGCACCCTGCCTCCACTTTTCGTGATCAGCATTGACAAGCAGCTCTACCCCATGCTATCTGCCCCTAACTCAAACTTTCGCATAAATTGATAAATATTGATATCTCAAACTTTCGCATAAACTGATAAATATTGATAAGTCCACATCCATCATAACCGTGAGAGGCCTACGGCACTTGCTCCGCACTGAATTATGTGCACAAAGTTTGGCCCGGTTCATAAATGATGTAGTTTATTCGGAACGTATGTGCGCCTAGGCAGACACAGAGAACCGCATAACAGGGCCCAAGACTTTGGCTTTAAGCTTCATACAAAGCTAATCTTAAAGCTTCGAAACCTGCTTGATTACATTCATTTTCTAACTTCTAATGATCTTGAGCATATTGAAGAAGCATCTCGCTGCAATCTTCTCAATGCGCTATTGACAGATCCCGAAAAGATGCTTAGATTTCAACTCAAGATGCCAATATTTTTTCAGCAATAAATGTACTGTATGTTCTAGGAATTTCTGTGATAATTGGTTACGAGTATAAAAGTTGGAGTACGCACCTGTAAAATAAAGATTCTCTAGGCTTGACGAGATTTGCTCATCTAAGACTTCAAGGATGAATCCGTCCTCATGAGAAAGCCTAGATATTTTTTCCATCAGATTAATAATTCAATAAACTTCACTGACGTTGTCATAAAGGTGAATCCCATATGACAAAAATCTTTATATTTATTGGCGAAACGACGCCACAGATCCACATAATGCCGCTGAACCTGACCACCATCTTTACACTGACTATAATGCCATTTCTAAACATAATGAATCATGCTGATGACTAATGGTAGCTTTGGAAGCTTTTCCAAGGCTACCACCTCACTTAAAAACTGCAAAATAATGATTACAAACTTTGTATACAGCGGTGTAATAAGCACGATAGAAATGATCCGCAGGAGGCAAGGTAAAACCAGGGATGAATTGTTCCGATGGATACCAAAATAATCCAAGATCCAGTCTTCCAATATCTTCGTTGAGCATTGAACGGCATCCAAATTCTAAAGATATTCGAATATGAGATGTTTTAGAATTAAGTCAAAATGTGTAATTTATCCTTTTTATTTGCACGTAGTCAAGATCAATATCGTAGTGTGCACCTCAAAAACAGCAAAAACCCTTACCCTTTTTCATCATCTTCCAAAGGAAAGGTAGATTGTCTGGGTCTAATCTACGTTGAGTAGGTAGAACCCACTCAATATTTATATCTCCAAATTTGTCTAGTTTCGGTTCTGCAAGAGCTTCTGGAATATCACCAACAAGGATCGGCGTAAGATTAACTTCGGAATTGTCTCCAATCTGAATTGTTTGTCACAAAAAAGTGGAAAATCATTAAAGCGGCTGTCCAAAAACTATTTTACATCTGTTCTTGTGATGTTTTCAATCTATTAGGTTTTTAATTCCTGCTAAACCTTGTTTTTCATTTTTGAAAATCTTAAAGGCTGTCGAAAGATCGTCTGTACAGGTTCAAAGGCCTACCCATCGATACTCCTAGATTCGCGGTTCGTGCGCACCCACTTTTTTGGTGAAAGTCTGTTTTGTGGCTAATTTTGTCAATGAAGCATTTTCGAGCGATATGCAGGAGACCAGAAGAGATGGTCGGCATAGTCCATAGTGTAGCAGATACGGAGGGGAGTGGGAGGGGGGGGGGGGGGG